TATATGTATATATATTGGACTTGTTTGTTGTAAAAACTAATTCAAGGAACACTGAAGCATCACTTAAAGTTTGCACAGAATATCTGCTGAAAACTTGTTATGTAAATTTTAGGACCTTTTATTTTGACAGCATCATCAATCTAAATTCCAACTGATTAGTTGATGTTCCTCTTGGCAAAGATCCATGTATTGGTGGGTTATTGTTTATAAGAAAGGAGGAATAGTCGCTGAAGTATTTTGATATTTAGAGAGGAGTTGTATTTCTTCTCTTGAACTGGTCTTTAAAAAAATGAAGTAATAACAAAGCCAACATAAATGTGGATGTGTCAGGCTTTAGCTGAAGTAAAGCCAAGGTCCAGTTAATAGGGTTTATAGATCCAGTTCAGATTTCTTTATCAGGAGATGATGTTGGGGGATTAGAGCAATCAGAACCATAAACATCTGATTCTCGGTGTGGTCACTTTCAGCCATGTCAGATACACAGTTACTCACAACAGAGCTGAGAGACAGCCAGAGAGGACAGAGGAAGCTCTCTACAAACCCACAGTGAGCGTCGGTGGCCTCATGAACTCTGTGTAGTCTTGCCAAGGAGTTGATTACAGGAAGATTCCAGCATGTAAATCGTGCAGCTTCACCACAGTGTGCATCATGTTACCAGACACCACGCTGCCCTAAGCTGGCTTTCCCAACATGCCCCCAAAAACGCAGCACGGGAGGATTTGCTCAGAATTACCGCCAACGTGACACAAATCCAGTCTTTATTGCTAGCGGAGCGTTTAGAATATTTTAATTTTAGCTAAAATGTGAATGTATATTTTTGGAATGTTGCTATTTGTTCGTGTTTTAGCCTTTGCAAGTTTAATTGAAGCACATTTTTCTTAATAAGCACATACCTTCTGATGTGTCGTCCATTTTTAATGAGCCACACGGAGCTTTTCAAAATGATTACTGGCCGCTTGGCTTATCAGATTTGGTTTGGAGGCTGCTAATGGCACGATAAGGCACATTACAGCGATAATAAGTATTTAATGAAGGTAAATGTGGGGAAGCTTGAGGCACAGAAGACTGATCCTTTTTTAAACAGTGCATAAAAGATGAACTTTAAACATACAGAGAAGATATTAAACGGTCCAGGGGTCCAAAAATTGTTGCTTGTTATTTGAGGAAGAAGCTATGCTGGATATCACAACTTTGAAGAACGTGTGGACTTTCAACTGTTTAAAGTTCTTAAATCCTCTTCATCTTCTCTTCTGTCTTCATGAAGCCTGTTCAGTACTTGGCAGACAAAATTAAAAATGACTGTTTTCCATGATTTCCTTTGGAACAATGTTTAAAAAGCCAACATTGTGCTTTAGGAGTTTTAAAGCTCTTTATTGCCTTTTTTATGGCCTTTTTCACTTCCCTCCTCTATTTTTTAAATCATATTCACACACACATACTGAGATCATTGTGCCTGATGTAAATGTGGCTATACAGCTGTAAAAGATGGGTGTTCCCACTGCCCCTTTGCCAACGCTTGGGGTGGGGCTCTCTGTGTCCATCTGTTCAAGCTCTGAAGAGAGAAATAAACATGGTTTACAATATTTCCACAAACATGTGCAAGCAAATAATTATTTCCTCTGCACAGATTCAACTCATGGTAAATGCCAAATAATTTTAAAGACACATGCATAATCTCCAATAATAGTAATAATAATAATGATAACAATAATGTAAGCGAATTCTAAGGATTTCATGATTATACTTCAATTTCCTGCACAGCAAAATAAAGGTTCAACACAGCTAAAAACAAAACAATACAACAAAAAAAAGTTGTGTGATTCAATGCAAATTCAGTTCTCAACACCCCCCCCCCCCCCCCCAAAAAAAAAAAAAAAAAAAAAAAAACATTTTTGTGTTTGACATGTCTGTTGTGTTTTGCTCTTTTCTCAGGGGACTTTTTGCGAGCCACTACACTGAGACACATTACAGGGAGGATGGAAGTGCGGTCACCGGTGCTCACAACTTCACGGTACGGTGGCACTCGAGTTCTTGTGGTCACCTCAAGTTGACATGCAGCTGTGCTTTGTAGTCTCGCTGTATAAAAAAATGCTGAAGAAGACAGATGCTTTTTAAATTGAGCTACATTTTAGCATATAAATAGACTTACAAATAAACTGAGCACAAAATGTAAAGAAACGTGTGTTGTGGTTGATTATTTAATTGCTGTAATAATGCTTCTTTGTAATAAGTCTTATATGTTTAAAAAGCCTGTTTTTCCCCTGAAATGGTGCTAAATTTGTTAGAAAAATTCATTTGTAGGTTAGCCCTACACTAGGACTTAGTTAATTTGTAGGTTAGGCAACAACGTTGAGTAATGTATGTGAGTTGTACCCTGTGGATGTGGACGTGCATGCTATGCTCAACCTTGTTGTTTGTCATAAGTAAAGGAATGTGGTTTTGTTGATCACTCTAGAATGAACAGCATATCCTAGCTGATCCCACAGGTGCTCAATGGGTTTGAGGTCAAGACTGAAGGCAATCCATTCTATTCTCTCTGATCCCAAATTCTTGAGGTAGTCTCTGATGAAACCTGCTTTGTGGAGACAGATGCTATCATCTTGGAGGATAGGGTTCAGTCCCACACTGTAGAAATATGGGACTGCCACTGGTTGCTCACAGATGCAGGTCATCAGGTACTAATATCAATACAAAAGTCAATAGCAGAATAAGCTGTTTGGCAATGGCAGAGAAAATTTGTTTTTTTAATGAGAGCAATTCACTCAACTTTGCTGCTCAACTCAAGTGCATTACTCTAACAATTTAAGGGGAAATGAGCAGAATTACCAACGTCAATAAGATTTATTGCCAAGTTTTATTACAACTAAGAAATAGTCAACCATAAACAAGTTTCCTAACGTTTTGTGCTATGCTTATCTTTTTTAATGCACTGTTTGTTTGGAACCCCCACAAGCCTAGTGGCTGTTGCTGATCAGTACATCCATCCCTTGACCTATTTGATGATAAGCTGTGTTTTGTCTCCATGTTTTACAGCCAGAATTGCCATCAGGATTTGTCATAAAATCCTCTGTTACCTCTGAAGGCTTGTTTTGTTGTGCCTTATAGCAAGGCATAAACAGCAAAGAGTTTGCTACCGATATAAAAGCTAATGTTTTCTTTTACTTTTTCAATTTAAATGTCTAGTGCTTGTCAAGTTTACTCATCACAGTACTTGACTGATTGAAATCAGTTGAAATCTCTCTGAAAACATTTGTTTTTTCTTTATCGCCATCTTCTACTGCTTATCTGTAGTCGAGTAGTGGAGGCAACAGGTCCAGGACATGACAGCCCCACAACATCCATAGCCTTCAGCATCTCTAGGTGAATTTCATCCATCCTTGGTGCCCTGTCACTGAGGAGCTTTTTGACTACCTCGGCAACCTCTGCCATGGTAATGGTCTTGTCTTACCCAAGTGCTCAGACTCTGCCTCCTCAAAGGTGGGCATGGTGAGTGGATTAAGGAGATCCTCAAAGTGCTCCTTCCACCGTTTAACAGTATCCTCAGTCTGGATCAGCAGTTCCACATCCAAACCAAGCACAGCCTGGGATAGGGTCCACTTTCCTTTTCTGAGTTGCCAAAAAGTTTGCCAGAACTTCCTCGAGGCCGACTGAAAGTCCTTCTCCATGGACTCCCCGAGTTCCTCCCATGCCCAAGTTTTTGCATGCTCTACCACCAAAGCCACATGTCCTTTTTTCACACGTCCTTCCCCTAGATATGTGAAAAACTCTCCTGGAGCTGTGAATTGAAAGTGGTTGAAAGACTGAGGGCTCCACCAGTTCACCCTCACTATGTGTTTGGGTTTATCAGTTCTGTTTGGCAGACAGGCCCCCAGCCACCAGATCCAACTCACCACAAGGTGGTGATCAGTTGACAGCTCTGCCCCTCTTTTCACCCGAGTGTCCAAGACATAGGAACGAAGGTCCGATGAAACAATTACAAAATTGATAATTAACCTTTGGCCTAAGGTGGCCTGATACCAAATACACATGAACCACCCTATGCTCAAACATGGCGTTCATTATGGACAACCCATGCCTAGCGCAAAAGTCCAATAAATGAACACCATTTGGGTTCAGATCAGGGAGGCTGTTCCTCTCAATCACCCCCTTCCAACTGAATCTGTCATTGTCCACATGGGCATTGAAATCACCCAGCAGAACAAGGGAATCCCCAGATGGCACCCCTTCCAGGACACCATCCAGAGACTCCAGAAGGTCTGGGTAATCTGAACTGATGTTTGTTGCATAAGCACAAACAACAATCAGAACCTTCCCTCCTGCAGCCCAAGCCACAGAGAAGCAATCCTCTCATTCATTGAGGAAAACTCCAACAACGAGGCATTCAAATGAGGACTTGTGAGTATCCCCACACTTGCCCATTGTCTCTCTCCCTGGGCAACTCTGAAGTAAGACAGAGTCCAGCCCTTCTCCAGGTGTTGGGTTCCAGAGCCCAAGCTGTGCATAGAGGTGAGCCCAACTGTATGGGGCGGCTGGGACTGAGTGGTTAGAGCAGTCATCCTCCAATGCGAGAGTTGGGGATTCGAATCCACCAGCAGTCACATGCTGAAGTGTCCCTGGGCAAGACACTGAACCCTTTGTTGCCTCTGATGTGTGTCCCATCAGTGTATGAATGTGATCGAAAGCACTGGTTAGTCTCTTTAGAATGATTTGTTCAATTAGCTTTGTAGAGATCTAGTATAGTGCTGTATGAATGGGTAAATGAGGACACAGATTGTAGTGTAAAGCACTTTGAGTATCTTGAAATAAGATAGAAAGGCGCTATATAAGTACAGTTCATTTATATCTACATAGTTGGTACAGCTCAACCTCACACACAATCTCTGGCTCAGTGCCCGCCAGTGAGGTGATGTTCCACATCCGTAGAACTAGTCTACACCACCAGGAATCAGCATGGTCATTGGACAGGAACCCTCCCTCACCTGTCTCCTGGCATGAACAGCACCCAACAACAACAATTTTTTGTTCACTTCAAGTTTTACCTCACTTGACACCAGATTGTCATTTTTAAAGCCTAATCTGAAGCTGAGAAATGTTTCTTTGGTATCACAGAAACCTGTGATTTATGACAGACAGAAGGTTTTAAGAACAGTTGATTTTCTGATGCTCTTTTATACCTCAGTTTGACTGGCAATCATCGTGTTAAATTGAACAGCTGTGAGGATATTTTTACAGCTCAGAGGAGCAGTTTGGTAATTTAACATTGACTGACAATTCAGCTCCTCACAAAGTTTTTAGACAGATTTCCACATACGGTCTCTCTCATCCTTAATTTTGTGGAGGATGTTGCAAACATCTGGTTGTCAAATAGACTCCCGGTATTGTCTCAGATAGGCAACATGAAGCTGTGCAGCTTTAGTATCTGCTGTCACTGAACTCAGCAGTCTGCCATGTGTTAAATCAGGGATCAGTAGAAATAAAAAAATTATAAATTAACTCCCTAAATGAGGGGAATGAGAATGGAAGGAGAAAATGGTTAATTTTCAAAATTTAATGTCCTTTCTACTCTTTTTAAATCTATATCAGATTATCAAGGTCTGTGGATTTGAGGTATTTAAAATAATACATTTATCTACCACATCGTCTTCCTTGAACCACCTTGCTTTGCTTTATACACACCCAAGATGATTTAAAAACAAACCCTTTAGTCCTGAATTTATAAAGGTATAAAACAGTCAAGAGGAGGGTCAGGAGTCTGTTTTTCTCTTTCACCTCTTGAAAAACATTCCCTACTGCTGGCTGATGTTTTCCTTTGTGAAAGGTGAGTTAATCTAGGTCAAGCTGAGCAGAGTTGCTCTATATTTATACCACTGTCATCCAATTCTGCTTCCACCTGGCTCACTAACCTGCCCTGAACTTGTCAAACAGAAGCGTTTCCTCATGAAATTCAGTATTTGGGATGAGAAATGGTCAGCGTACTTGCTGGTGACAGTTAATTTAGGAGCTGCTAGGCAATAAATGGAGGTCTGCATCTCTCTTTAATGACAGTAATTTCTTCTCTCTCCTTATACTCAGACAACACTATATTTTCTTCATCTGAGGATCCTTAAATATCTCCTCCCCCCACCACCACCCCTTTACCAGAACCCTCTGATGGAAAGATGAAGGATAAGCTATAACCATATTACTGTCACCTCACATGCATGTCATTTTTCTTGCTTCTCCCATTGCATTAATTTTAAATGGCCTGTTTGTAAAGAGATGGGGGCATGGGTGGGGAGGGGGACTGCCCTTCAGAGCATGCTAATTGAAATAAACACGAACTGGGCAGCAACTGTGCAATTATAAAGTGTCTGGTCCTCACTTGCTCTTTTGAAGTCAAGTAGGAGCTACTGTATTGCTGCAAGAAATGTGACAGCTTAGTGTCTTGAGATCGGTCTCAAGACCACTTTTTGATGGTCTGAGTCTCGTCTCGGACTCGACCACATTTGGTCTCGGTCTTGTCAGTCTCAGACATTGAGGACTCGGGATTTTATTTCAAGACCAGTCAAGACACAACTGTGGAAACATCATTAAATTGCCAGAAAATTGTCCAGTTCATTTGCTAACATCCTTGTTTTTATTGGATGCAAAACATACTAGTTCAAATCCAAGTGATAACGTGACTCATTGCTAAACACATGTTTTTGCTACCGCTGTCACGCCCACCCCCTTTCACTCGCACACGCCACATTGCCAATTGGACTGTTGTCATTCTGATTTTGCTGGGAACTCTGGGAAGATTTTTCTTTGATTGTTGCGTTTTGCCACATATTGTTAAATTACCTTGGCTTGGACTGATGTGCGTTCAAACAGTAAATATACTGTACCAATAAATCAGTTGGGTGGATTTTTGTGTGATGTGGCGGTTTTAACAGATTTTTGGGCTGGAAAATCTCGACTATCTGGCAACACTAGTCACTCCAAGAAAGTGAGAATTGATTGAGAAGATGTCTGCCATATCATCAGTTATAAAATTTGGCTATTTAAGTCACAAAGAATATAATTGTAACTAATATTCATTTATGTAACTTTTTAGGTGTATATCTACTACTTTATTGAAACCACTATGCAACTATATGGTTGTTCATGGTCTTGAGTTTGGACTTATGAAGATTGTTTTGCCACTGCAGTTTTTTAAGACTCGGCATGTGATGAAACTGCTTCCATTTTAACAGTTGTGTAATTTTATTGTTGAATCACATGAGGTAAGGCCACTGAATGTCTGATTTCTTTGTTATGTAGCTTTGAAAATGTATAAAAGCTGATATATTCATTCAAAAGCAAACTTAAAGTTGCAGTATGTAACTTTTATATTTTTTGAGGTCTTATCTCACCCTCCCTCAATCTTGGTCTCGACTTGGTCTTGGACCCTGAAAATTTTGGTCTTGTCTTGGTCTTGGTACACTCTGGTCTTGATCTTGACTTGGTCTTGGGTTAGGTGGTCTTGACTACAACACTATGACAGCTTTTGTTGTTTTTTTACATTTCAAATCGTGATTATAAAGTCTAACTTTGGTCTTAAGTGATTTTTTTTTATCCTCATATGAACAATCTCTTTTAGATGAACTGTTATTACCACGGGGAAGTGCAGGAGCATCCAGGCTCTGATGTCACCCTGAGTGTCTGCTCGGGCCTTCGGTGAGTAATACAAGAATCATTTTGTATTCAAGCTGCCCTTTAAGTGCTATTTGCCACTGCAGAGTTTAAATTTGCTTGAGTCACTCAGAAAAGCAGCCCGTCGTCTTTAAGCCCCGTAAGAGTTCTGTCAGTAAGTTGGTGTGCGATTTGCTGAAACTTGAGAAAATGTCAAACAGACGTCTCTGTTCATACAGGCTTTTAGTACGGTAGCTATTATTCTGCTTTCATTTTAGCTGCAATTGGCATCTGAATGTTGTTAATGACTGAACACATTTTGGACATTGTTGAGTGGGTATTAGTCAAACTGTAAGATTAACAGCTTCATCTTTTAATTAAATATATAATCAGCAAAGAAGCAGACTGGGTTTAGTTTGCTATGATAAGCCTTGTGTCATCACAATAGCTGCTAATGCCATAGAACATTTTACTTGTCTCTAGGAGGTTTATCCTTGATCTAAGATGGAAGATAAACACGTCTTAATGCACATAAAGAATCTTAATGCCACTGAGCAGATTTGTGCTCATTACAAAGCTTTTATCTTGCAATCAATCTAGAGTTTGAACAGCAACCACCTGTGGCTTGATCAAAACATGTTTTGGAGTTGCACTTGGTCTCAATATGGGTGAGCTCACAGACTAAAGCCTGCCTCTGTCGATCCATCAGAAAGAACCACGCTCGATCAATTTCTGCATTGGACTAACCGCAGCATGCTTTGAAGTTTTGTTTTCTTACTTCCTCTGCAGAGGCTTCATTGCACTCGAAAACAAGACATTTATCATTGAGCCTGTGTCTGGACGCCACACTGGGGCCCACTTCATCTACCGGGTGGAAGAGCTCAAGCTGGCAACTGGCGCTTGCGGCCATGGCTTCAACCTGTCTTCTGTTGCACCTGAAAACCACATCAGAAGCCCCTTTCAGTCTTTCCACACAAGGGTGAGCTGATAAGTGTTGTTTTTGCAAAGCAGAGACGATAAATATGACTACGAAATTCCAATTTATCTTCTTTTTTTTTAAACTTTTATTCATTATAAAATACATCTGAGCAGAAATATAATAGTTGCTTGGTTTACACCAAGTTGAACAGCTTTAGCTTGGGATTTATTTGACACTCATTTTATTTGTGTTAAGAGCCCAGAGTTAAAGGCCGGTGCAGAAGGTTTGGCTGATCATTTGCATGGAGCAGGTGCAGCATCCATCTGTCACTATTACCAAAAATTTAAAGCTCGGTTTGAGGCAGGAAGTGAATTTAATTCATAAAATAAACCTAATGGCTGCAAAGTAATACAATAAATGAACAATCAAATCTGAGTTTTGAAAGGAGAAGTTGCTCTGCATTAATATATGGGATTTTAGAAAAAAAGGATCATGGCTTATAATAAAAAGCTTTTGGGTACTTTGCTGCATTGCTAGCTAAAGTATTAACAAAGCAACAAACATTAAAGAAAATAACAGAGTTTTAAACACACCAACGTCCGAGGAGTTACAGACACTGGAGAATCAGAATGGGGTAGAGGCGGTAAATTATAATTTTTTATTATTTTGAAGCTTTATTTTGGTGGTGTGCACTTAAGTCTTGCACATTTTCCAACATAGTTAGCACAACGTAACTGCACTTGAAGTGACCACCTCCACCTTCATTTTGGGGGCCTGAACGCCTTTTGTATTGAAAAACCTGTGTTTGAATGATGTAGAAGTTAGATGTTTTACTGTGCATTTGTGTATGTGCGTGTGTGTGTGTGTGTGTGTGTGTCCTTGTTTATGCTACTTTGTGAGGCCCATTTTTCCAACTTATACTACATTGTGGGGACCAACTGCTCCTTATGGGGCCCAAAGCCCGGGCCCCATAAGAAGAAGTCCCGTTGGTGGGTTAGGGGCTAGGTTTAGGACTAAGGTGTGAATTGAGGATGTGTTAGGTTTAGGGTTAGGTATGTACTGGTAATGGTTAGGTTATGGATTAAGGTCATGGTTAGGCTATAGAAATGAATGAAAAATGAATGGAAGTCAATGCAAAGGCCCCACAAAGATAGCAAAACAAACCTGTGTGTGTGTGTGTGTGTGTGTAGTTACAATTTGGAGACCAATTTTACAAAAAATGCTACATTGTGGGGACCAGCGTTTCCTTGTGGGGACCAAAGCCTGGTCAAGACTCATTGTGGGGGTTAGGGGTTAGGTTTAGGACAAAGGTGTGAATTGCCCATGGGTTAGGGTTAGGCATGTACTTGTAATGGTTAGGTTTAGGGTAAGGGTCAGGATTAGGCTATAGTCCAGAATTAAATTCAAAATCTTACTTCTAACCTACAAAGTTCTCAACAACCTAGCTCCTTCTTATATTTGAGATCTTGTTGTTCCATATTTTCCTAACAGAGCACGTCGCTCTCAGACTGCAGGCTTACTCGTGGTCCCTAGAGTTTCCAAAAGCAGAATGGGAGAAAGATCTTTCAGTTATCAGGCTCCTCTCTTGTGGAACCAACTTCCAGTTTCTGTCCGTGAGGCTGACACATTGTCCAGTTTTAAGACTGGACTTAAGAATTTCCTTTTTGATAAATCCTATAGTTAGGGTCAGCTTGTTGTGCTGTCTTAAGCTTAGACTACCGGAGGACAAATTTACGTCATTCCCTTAAATGATTTGTTAAAACTGAATAGTTTTCATTTGATACTATTTCTATCTTAACATGTGATTCTTGACCTGCCATTGTGTATCTGTTCCTCCCAAACCCAGCCGGTCGAAGCAGATGGCCGCTTGTCCTGAGTCTGGTTCTGCTAAAGGTTTCTTCCTCATGAGGGAGTTTTTCCTTTCCACGGTCGCCTTCATGCTTGCTCAAGATGAGAGTTCTGCGATGGAGTTAAACTCAAAGCAGTCTGCTCCTCAGATAAATAATGTTAAATTGTTATTTTTAAATATGAATATTTCTGTTAACTTATTTTATATATGAATGTTTCTGTTCAGTGCCCTGAGATAACTTCTGTTGTGACTTGGTGCTGTATAGATAAACCGAGTCGAATAGAACTGAATAGAAAATGAGTGGAAGTCAATGCAAAGTACAATTACAAGAGTGCGTGTGTACGTGTGTGTGTGTGTGTGTGTGTGTGAGAGTGTGTAGAGTATCCCTCTAATCTGGAACAATTATGTGTTATTTTTGTTTTCTCAGCATAAAAGACATATTCAGAAGACAACTAAATACGTTGAGCTGATTATTGTTGCAGACAACAGAGAGGTAACGCACCTGTTCAGCCTCCCATCACACATTTGTCCACCTGCCACAGTGCACTGAAAACACAGCAACCCTTTGAGCTTGCCTTAATTTTATAAATGGGAAAAAATGCAGGGTAAGCTGCAGTAAGTGCAGAGCAGGTCCCGATGGAGCTGCTGAATGTGGCGAGTGTGCACAAACCTGTTGCAGCAGCATTTTTTTTTCAAGTTGTTTATTTTTAACTGAAAGTTTTATTTTCAGACCTCCAGCAGTTCAGACAGGAAACAGGAAAAATCCACGCGGATACAAAAGTGTCCCCTGTAAGCACTAACAAGCTTATTGTGGGGTTTCCTCTCGACAGTTCTCCGCTAATGCTGTCGACCTGAATAGAAGAACAGGAAACAGAAATGTTTGAATAAAAGACATGTCAAATTAGTTGTTAAGTTCTGATATGAAGTGGAGAATCAGCTCAGGTGGATGCACTGCAGGGTGGAAACAGACAATATGATTTAGCTTCAGTTTACTCCCTGAGCTTCGATTCCTGTCCTCCCTGCCATTAAAGCTTCTCCCGGTGATTGTGCTATTCTACTTACTAACACCGGGAGATTTTTCTAGATCCAGATGGTCACAGCTTGACGACACAGAAAAAAACATATTGCCTGCCAATATTTTAGGCAGTCACACCAAATGCCTGCGTTTGCGTGTGTGCTGCTGTGGCACTTCATGGTTTTTACATCGGAAAATGATGGTCTCACTTATGTCGTCATGAAACACCTGCTACTCACGCATTTCTGCTTCCATTCGTTCCTCTTCTAACGTGCAGTTTTCTTGTTTTGTCTTCCTAGTTTCAGAAACAAGGAAAGGACTTGGAGAAAGTGAAACAGAGACTAGCGGAAATAGCCAATTATGTGGACAAGGTAAAACATCCTCGCTAATGTGAGACCAGGATAAATCACTTTTTAAAAATAGAAATCATGCTGCCAGTAGAGATTAATGGGATGACTGTGTGATATATTAATTTTTCCTTGAAAGCAGCTGCCTAAGACCTTAACCAGGGCTGTGGATTTGTAGCTAGAACACACAGTCGGCAGATGAGTTTATTTTAGGCGAGCATGGATATAGAGATGGAAAATCATGCCTTGATCATGTTAAAACAGGAGGAGAGATTTAGTTAAAGGGGATGTTTCAGGGCTGGTGAAAGAAGTAGTAATGTATTTCAGTGAAATGAGTACTCATGGTGAATTTGTACGTTTGTTTGAAGAATGCATTCAAAATCATTTTGATCCTTCGATTTGTCTAAACGCCATCTTTTAATCTTCAGTTTTACAGGGCCCTGAACATCAGGGTGGCTCTGGTGGGTCTGGAGGTGTGGAGTGACTCTGATAAATGCCCCATCACTCAGGATCCCTTCACCACTCTGCACGAGTTCCTAGACTGGAGGAAAGTGAAACTACTGCCTCAGAAACCTCACGACAACGCTCAGCTCATAAGGTGAACATTTCATTTGACAGCTGAGGCCACGGAAACCTCTGGGCATTGTCTTTTTTTTTTTTTACTTTCTCATGAACCAAACATCCACAAAAGTCTGTCAGTGACGGCACCACAACTATAAAAAATATTCTGCCTTGAGCAAAAGTGGAAAAAAATGTAGTTTATCCTTCTCACTGGTTAGAGTGGGAATTTCTAAATGAGCGCACACAGTACCAGTTCTGCAGCATTCAAAGCATATGAACAAAGAAATAGCGGAGAAAATTAAAAATGTGCAGAAATAAATGGATATGTCATAAAAAGAACTGCAAGTTCAGTATTTTGGTAGCAGAAAGGATGATGGTTAATAAAAACAATAACTTTTTTTAAAATTTCTTTTATGCATTGCTAAGCATTGAAGGACTAAAATTGTCATAACTAAAAATAATTACAAACAAATGAATTAATAATAAATATTATGCTATGGCAATAATTAATTTTCATTAAATTTTATTACTTTAATAAAAAGGCCCAGTATTCTTTGAAAGGACACATATAAATATCTGCCTTTCATGCCAGAGATTTAAATTAAGATTTAAAATATGAAAGAAATGGTGAAGTTTTAACCTTTTTTTGGCCAAATCTTGAAAATACTTTGATTGCACACTTTATTGTTTAATCTTTTAGCACTTGACATAAATCAGTAAGGATGCCTCTCGGCTGTTTAAACTTCAGTCCTGAGCTTGATATTTGTCAAATCAACAGAGTTAAAGTCATTTTTGTGTTTGTCAAGGTTGACTTGCTGTGGCAGCCATCTTGAGTTGGGTTGTCTCCAAAGGTTTAATTGTAGGAGTACATCCATATTTTTTCCTGACTGTTTCATTCAAATCTGTCCAGTGGTTCATGATTTTTTTTGCTAACATTACAAACGCACACATGCACACATGCACTTACATCATCATCTGCATTTCAGCCGCATCTGATGATGAATTTATTTTTTGTCATTAGTTTATTCTTCTTAATTTGCCATTTACTTTTTAATTTAGTTGCTGTTTTTTTTTTCTTCTTTTCTGTTTCAAGTTATGCGTTTTGTACCTTTTTATAATTATTTTCAAACATGGATTTATTCAGGCATTTGTTATTGGACAATTGTTATATTATATTTGTTTGTTTGTTTTGAAACGTTTTTCACATTTAGAGAATTTTTAAAGATGTCAAATGGATTTGTGGGGGGGGGGGGGGGGGGGGGGGGGGTGAAAGTAATTATGTAGCACTGTACATCATAAAAAAGGTCACTTTAGGTGAGCTATGTCTGCGGAAAGAAAATGTGTGTAACTGCTTTTGAAATATTTATAATTTAGTGCATCTGCTCTTCCCTCCAAGTCACCCCAGTAAATCCAAAACTATTGTTTATTCAGGTGAATCCATTGTTTGATAAAGTTTATGTTTTCATGTCATTATGTATGCTGCAGAAATCTAAATTGCAATTTTAGCTCTGCTGCCTAATATAGAAGGAAGATGATGCTATTGAAATATTTGCAAAGTCAGCTACAATTATTCACATATTTTAAGTCAAAAGCCACAACTTGCAGTAATATTTTCACCCTTTCATTACTGTAACAATTTAAGTGCATACTCCTGTCTTTTGCAGTGGGGTTTACTTCCAGGGCACCACTATTGGCATGGCCCCCATTATGAGTATGTGCACTGTGGAGCAGTCTGGAGGTATTGTCATGGTGAGTATGAAACCCTGTCCTTGCTCCCAATAAAGCCTCCTCCCTCCTTTTCTTCCCTGCAGCCTGATTGTATCAGTAAAGACATTGTCCAGATTCAGCAAGCTAACACAATCCAGACGTGACTTAAAAGAACAAGGTGTTCATTACTTGCTGAAAAGTTGCTTACAGAGAGCTCTGCAAGGGCATATTGCATAATAACATAATGGTGTTTGTGCTGGCACACTTTTCACTAGACCACAAACACACACACACACACACACAAACACACACACACAACAATACATGGAAGTATATGTACAGAGATATTGGCCTGCAAAGACTGTTCCAGGCCATGCAAAGTCTTGAAGTGGATGAAAGCTGTCCATGACAGGTTTAGCATGTACAATGTGACCTACATGTCATTTCTAGCCAGCCAAATGCGACGGCACAGTCCACCTTTTCAAAGCGGCCAGATTGTGTGAATTTTCAAACAATATTGATTAAAACTGCGGACCAGAGACTTCTGGTTTGTTGGCAGCAAGGCACTGAAGAAATTTACCCCAAAATTGCAGTTTACTAAATACATTTGAACTAAGTACATCAACTACAGAGACATCTGCTGAATATATCACCATCTGAACATCCATCCATCATCTATAGCCACTTCTTCCTTTTCACTGGAATAAAGGTAAACTTCCTTTTTGGTATGTTTCATATATTTGAATTTAAGATACATTTATTACACACACACACACTTCGCAGGTAGGATGTTTCTGATGCAATTGTCAGTTTTTAGTTTTCTTGTATTATACAAACATGCAGTTTTTCAACATTGCTCCACACGTGGACTGAAGTTTTTGAGTTTATTTTGTTGTATTTTTCTGTTAGCAGGTGCTATCTTCTGCTCTTTATTTTTTATCTGTAAATTCATATAGGAAATGTTCAAAACATCTATTCATCGTTTGCTATTTTTAAGCATACTTGGAAATTTTTTACAATTGCCACATCCTCGTGCGAGTTCACTCGCTGTGGCGACCCCAAAGCATACTTCTTTATTTTTTGTGTTCAAGAAATCTTTAAACAAAAATTTAGCTGATGGCAGCATAGCTGTCAAGAAAGATGGACACACACATTTAAACACACTTCTCACCAGCGTGAGGGACAAGCGGCTATTCCAAAATCATTCCTGCAACATAAACATTTCATGACAGTCTCTTTCGACAGGGAATCCGTGACATTTTCACTCGTAAAATGTGCGAGATTACTTGTGTCAAAACTGGATGCAAAGTGGGCACTTGTGTAAATCAAAAGCCACCACTTCTGAACACACTGTCATTTACATTTTTATGAGAAGTGATAAGTTGTTTACCCCTGGTTCTTACAGAGCACACACTTGAATCGAAATGTGTTTTTTTTTTTATATACAACTGTACATCCTCCCTTGTACAGAATTACCACACCTAATGAATTTGCTTCTGGTTCTCGGGATCTGTGCCAGTTCACAAAGCGGTTATCAGCCCAGTCCCGTTATGCCTCAGCCCAGATGTGCATGCCCCCATTAATAGATTTGTTTTCTGCTGGCTGTTGCTGTGATGAGGCTTTTCCAGATGTTTATCTTCCCCATTACTTCCACCGAGCAGATGGTCTGGATCAAGATAAAAGGGCCACTAAAGGAGTAAGAGGGCAGTCATAGAAGATGATCTATTTCTCAAACCATACTGGACCATGTGTTCTACCGCAAATCTTAGATTTGGTCATTTATCTCTTCCACGTGAATAGAAATTATATCAGACAGACAATCAAAACCATACTCGATCTTAGCCAGCACATCTTTCTTTTCACCATCCCAAAAGCAAAAACAGCATTGCAGCCACACATTTTTTTCCAATTTTTATTTATGCTTAGTTATAATTACTCAGAAATAAAATGAACACACTACACTGATAAACATAGCAGAAGCAGCAGAGAGGTTTCCCATCCTTCCTGCTACAAGGCAGGGTGCAGCTCCCATGACGCTGCTCTTTAATCAGAACAGGAAGTGGCTCATCTTGTTCTCAACTTTGACTGATGACCTTGCTCTCAAAGGATATGTGTGATTTTCTCATGTTCGTACCAAAGAACCGCAGTACTATAAAATACACAGTAAAAAAAAAAAATGTTCTTGGTCTGAAAAAATAGATTTTCCTCAAATTTTTTTCCTAAAAACTTTTTAAAATCCATTTTAACCGTCCAACATTGCGTTTTTGGATCGTTAAGAGCAGCTAAGCTGAGAAGCTAAGCTACAAGCTAAGCTAACAGGCCGACCTCGGGAAAAAACCTCTGTCTTGTCGAAGCTCCAAAATTCACAATCGAAAACCATGCCTTTGTGTAAAAAGTTGTTTTTCTCTGCAAAAAGAAGCTGAGAACTTGTTTACTGATTTTTTTCTTAAAAGCGTTGTGTGAAAAAAGATATGCTAAAGAGTTCAAACCACACAGAGCGTCCGCCATTTTGAGAACCGAAGCAGACAGCCCATGTCACGTCAAGGGGCCTCCCTCCCATGTTTCTTAAAGAGACACGCTGCTCGTTCCCTCACTATCCATCCTTTGATTCAAACAGTCTTTACTGCTATCCGGTGGTCGATAAAAGGTACTACATGCAAAACAAATTAAACATTTCTTCTTAAATTTGACAATAATGACTAATTATTGTCAAATTTCAAACAATATTATCGTTGATCGCAATAATTTCTGAGACAATTAATCGCCCAGCAAAATTTGTTATGGTGACCGGCCTAACTCAAAGTCCCAGTTACACACCGAATTAGCAAAAGTATAAAGTATATTAAAAAAAAAAACATTATACAAGGATTTAAGATATAAATTAAAGAATATAATGTACAAAGTAGTATAATGGGGTGTATTAAACAGCAGCCTGAACATAATTCAGTTATGACTGCCTGCTGCTGGTGATGCCCTTGTGCAATTTTAGTCTAAAAAGTCTAAAAAAAAAGGGCATATATATTTTATTATGTTCTTAAATTTATTTCTTGAAAATTGCTGCTAGTCTTTAAAACGAATTAGGAAAATTACATTTTATTAGTCAGCTTACCAGGTTTGGATATTTCCAACTAGTAAAGAGAAAAGTTCATATTAGACTAGATGTTTAATTAGCAGTAAGATGTTTTGTTTTTTAAACCTTTGATAGCTCAATGACATGATTAGAGTCTTGAGTTGTCTTCTGTAGATTTTTTTTTCATATTTCCAGATTCTTGTTGGTGCACCAACAGTGATTTAATATTTCATTTACCACTCCTCATCCCAGCCTCCCTGTCTGTAAAAACTAGTTAAAATCCAAAATTCCACTCCTGTGTTGTCATTATCCGTCTCTATCTGCCAGGTGAAGGGCACTTGTCTTGCTTATCAGTGCAGACGTACCACAATGGGTTTATGCAGCTTTCTGCAGTAGCCGTCTCCAACGGCAGTGTTTGATTGGGTCTGTAGGGGGAGTGGAATGGCAGATGAATTTAGATCTCCATGAAAAGAATAAGTAATATAGCAGGGATGAGACACAAGTGATGCCCTTTAACTAGAGCTCTATTTCGATCTTGGTATGTTCATATGCATATGAATTTAGTTTCCACAACTGCTCATAATTAATGTTTGGTGACGTCTTTGTCCAGGATCACTCTGAGAACCCGCTGGGTGCAGCCGTGACTTTAGCACATGAGCTGGGACATAACTTTGGCATGAATCACGACACTCCAGAGCGAGGCTGTGGGTGCAGGATGACTGTTGATCGGGGAGGCTGCATCATGACCCCATCCACCGGGTGAGTCTGGAGATGTTTTCTATTCACAAATAAGAGGTGGCCAACATGTGCCAAACAGCAAGAGTGGGTAAAGAAAAATGATTAGATTAGAAACAGAAAAATGTTACTGGAAATGCAGTGTTAAAACATAAAAGACAACAGCCACGGAAAAGGACAAATTATTGAAACAGCTGGCAAAAACAAACAAAAAAAACAATATTCTAAATTTTATCAAAACATAAAAGAACTAAAAACCCAAAATCATATTTTGGAAAACCTTTTTAGGATTGTATTTTATTTATTTATTTAATTTTTACAAAAGAGAATGAGTGCACATCATTTCACTTATATATATATATATATATATGTTTTATTATTATTTGGTGTCTTTTTTTTCATTTTTGTGTCTAATGAACTGGTTGGTCTTTAAAACTTAATACCGTTACAGCAGTTATTTCAGCATTTTACTGCTAAGTAGGCCTTACAATCATCATTTTAACCAATTTTATTTTTTTAATTTGCATAATTTTTGTCTCATTTTGTAGGAAATTCCAAAAAAAAAATCAACAAAAAAAAATGAGCACATAGGGTAATGAAATGTTTTAAAATCACTAATGTTTATGTAAATTCTAATTGATTACTTATTTTGCATCAGAAAGGGTAAAAAACACATTGTAGTCCACTCTTTACCCAGATTGCATCCAATTTATCTGTGAACAATGCTTTGTTGTTCCTGTGTTTAAGTATAACAGAGGGATTAAATCCATACACAAAAACACACACTTTGGACTGAGATTAAAGTAGCAGCTGTGACATTCTACTCGTGTTGCCTGAGTCTTTGAGATAACAGAGCTGCTCCAAGGGATGGACTCTGTGACGGTTAGTAAACAGCTTGCACATAATGTGAACCCAGAGTGCAATACCAGATTTCACCTTTGGTATTATGCCAGTCATGTCTGCCTCCTGGAGGGTCCTACAATGCACAGAGGAATGTGGTTTGGGTGAATTCCACAAAACTGGAAAATAAACCACACACACACACACAAAAAAAAAAAGAAAAAAAAACAGAAATACACTGTAATTGGTATTATTTTTAGTCTTGCATCTCTGAGATGAGGCATTAAATCATTCACACATTGTATGCACAAATGGGGATTTGTGCAGTTTAAGAAAAAAAAGCAGGCAAAGCTGCCAGATCTTACACGCTCTCACATGTGCTCTTACAGCTTTTAACTACATTCAGCTAAGATTTTTACCATTAAATAGGTCTATAGATTTTCTTTCCCTCAGTAGCTAATTGAAAATGCATTAGTAAGAGATCTTCTAATTGCCAGTGCAAACAATGGCAACAATTTAAGCAAAAAGAATTGTTGGACAGGAGCCTGAATGAAAAACAAAATACTGAAAGAGAAGAAGCTGCTGAATAAATTGGTTGGAGATTATCTAGAATTGCATCGACAATATTAAAACTTGTAACACAGGCAGACATTTGTTCATGATTTAATTTGCTGGCTCTAATTGTGATTATTATTAAGAAGTGTGACTTACCAGATGTTGACTGCTCATCTGCCATTGCCTGTGCATTTAACAGAGCCTTGTTTCCCCTTACGATGTCCATCTGTCATTGTTCCTTTTTGCTAGACGAGAGAGAGAGAGAGAGAGAGAGAGAGAGAGAGAGATCTTGTCTTTTTGGAAATATAAAATCCACATATTCAAAGAAAACAATGACCTCTTGCTAGATATTCCTTTTCCTGTTTAAATGCTTATTTTATACAGAATGATGACCAGTTGTAGTTTACTGACCTTAAGACTATGCTTTAAATCAGGCCTACTGTGTGAATTTTATTGAATTGTCAGTTTGGGTGGTGGATAGTGTGTGTGTGAGCTATTAGTCGTATTTATCTTTCACTTAAAATTGATTTCTCTTGATTTTTAACTTGAGTCTTCAAAATACAAACCAATGATTTGATGACTCAAGTGGTAATGGCCATTGGTTTGTATAAAAAAAATTTAAAAAAACACCGTCAGTTTGCTGTTCTTCAAGGGCCTAATCTTTGCTCGACAGTAATGGTTTTAATTTTGAGAACAAGTCTCAGAAGTCAAATATCTCTTCATCCAAAAAAACCAAAACAAAGCAAAACAACAAAAAAATGTAGAAACGTTTCATCTCTCATCCGAGAGACTTCCTCAGTCTGAGGTGGAGACCTGGATTATTGAGCATGCATCAGGATATCTCTTTATCGTATTGGATTCTCAATTAAAATTTGAAAAGCATGATGTTAAGCAAAGTGCTAAACCATTTGTACACGCAACTGTTTTTAGCAAGGAATTATGTGAAAAATCACACCTGCAGAGCTTTAATTGATCTCTGACTGGCATCATTTTAGATTAAAACTGCTTTATAATCATGAGTGACTTCCTTGTTTTCTTATATATTCTACAAGTCACGTTGGTAACAAAAAGGCCCATCTGAAATAAGCACAGTAAATTAGCTTCAGCTATAAATTCTATAGTACTTAACACATCCATTTTCAAAACAATAATAAAAATGCACACTACGTTAAAAATGACCTTAGGGTGCAAAAATGTACCTCTTAGGGTACAACCATAAAAATGTACCATTGATCAACATAGCAAGGCTGGAGAGAAAAAAAAACGTGTACCTGTACATTGAACACAATATGAAACACTAGCACTGCTAAATTTGTTCAGCGGTACTATTTCAACAACTTACGACAATTTTGATAGATCTGTAACACAAACAAGGGTATGCAGAATGCGCTGACAATTTCATTCTCTAATTGGTAACAATGTACTGTATCCTAGTAATATTGAATTCTTTCCAATGAAATGGAATAATTCAATGTCTATTTTCAGCACTTTCCGTTTTATAATAATAAGATTAGACTTGATAACATCTGAGAAGATGCATCGTGACCTTTTCTTTTCCAACTATCTTCATTGTTTCTTAATAACAGATATGAGATAAATCCATGCGTGACAATGCTCTGACATTTTGTGGGCAGTTTATTGTTGATGCACCAACACAGAATATCAATAGTTCTGTGTTTGTTACATTTTATTCTAATTGTACATTCACTATTCCCTGTTTCAGTCTGCTTGATTGCATTAGTGAAAAATATCATTGACTTTTGGCCATGCTCAGTTGTACACATTAAAGAAATGTGTATTGTTTTGTAAATTCCTACCTGTAAAATCTTAGGCTTTTCATTCTAAACCATCATTGATCCTGTCTGTTGACTTTCTTGGTAGCATTGTTTGAAACTGCTTTTATCCAGGTTTTTATAATAAATTCACAGTTTGACATATTTTTCTTCCAGTCTATAAAGTAAACTCCTTTTTTAAGCTGCATACCTTATGCTGATATGAGAGTGCTATTGATTTCCTTTAGCTGCTGATCAAATATTAATATTGACAAAACATGTTTGAAAATGTTTATTGTTAAAAATAAAATATTTGTATATAGCTACCAGTCCTTTGAATACATTGTGCACTAGGTCTGTGATTTAACATGATTATTATACCTAAACCCAGAGTAAGCAAACCGACAATGAAAGGACTCCATTCAATAGGTACAATGATAAGTGCTTTATTTACAAGTGATGTGGTTCACGGGACACTGGCAGGAGAAAAACAAAGGTGAATATTTTGGTCCACAGGTGTATTTGAGTTGTAAATGAATCAAGGTGTGGTAATCTTACTTTGGTATTGCAAATCACAAGCTTGGAGAGAATATGAAGGATTCTGGGGTGCCCAGCAAACCACAGTGGAGGTGTGGAGGCGGGTCAGTACTGGTGGTGGGAGAGTGTCAGGACAGACTCAGAGCCTGCTTTGTCTCACTAGTTGTAGATCCTTGATGAGGAACATGGGTTATCAGAAGCAGTTTTACCAGTAGAATGGACCAGAAGAATGCTAGGGAAACAGGTCTCATGGATGGTGAACCGGGGAACCAGAAGCTGAAGAGCACAAGGAAACCCAAGGTAAGTATTATCTCAGACTAGGCTAGTCTTGCTAAGGCTGTTCCACAATACTGAATGGCATGAAATGTTCCAGTAATGAGAAACTGCAATACAGGGTCTTCAAAACGGGGTCTTGTCAGGCAGAATCAGGAACAGCTGGTGGTCATTAATGCCATTCTGCCACTTAGGAAGCTGCAAAGTGTGATTAGTTAACAGAAAAATATCAATCCTCACAGTAACCCCTTCATAAGAATCGGCAGGAAGGCAAAGTGGACTCTGTGTAACAGGCCTGACCTGAGAGACGTGGAACATGGGGTGGATCCTCACAGAGGTGGGTAGTTTGAGTCTTGCTGCTGATGGGTTGATGATTCTTTCCACAGGGAATGGACTGATGATTCTGGGGGCGAGCTTTTTAGGTGTACAATAGTCCCTCGTTTATCGCAGAGAATCCGTACCCTGAAGACCCGTGATAAGTGAAAACCCGCAAAGTAGGAATAGTAGTACAAGTCGTAAGTAGTAGTTCATTTTAATATATAT